TTCTCTTAATACCCCTTGATTGTGAATGAGTGCCAGAGGGAGGGGAGATATCAGGTACCTCAGAGGCCTTGAGCTTAACATCAGAAAACCAGCCATACCTAGAAAATTGGAAGCAAAATTAAAACCTTTCGATTGAAGAGCTATAAGCNAGCTATATGCAAAAAATGGAATCAGACCAGTCTAAAACCTTAAGCGGAAAATGGCAGGACTTTCTATTGCTGCATACACTTGTCCTGCAGAAACGTTGGTATCTTTTGAGCTCCATCGCTTCTCTGATGCCAAGTTTTCTGTATTAATATTATAGGGGAATAGAAAGAGCTCCGCCAACCCCACGCTCGAAGAATTCCACTTTGTATTAAGGTGCTTAATCACTGATGATATCTTCTTGTGAGTACTTAAAGTAAGTTCCTGGAATGGATTGCAGCCATCCTACCAGAAATACCAAAACTATCAAGATTCAATTGGTGCACGTTACGCATAGTTCTATTTATTTAATGCATGACTTATACCTTCTCCAATCTCTGTCGGGTACTTTTATTTATTGGAAAAAGCTGTAGCTTAATCTTCTTATGGGAATCAAGTTGTTGACTCCCAATCCCTGCTGCAGCATCTCCTTTTGTTACAGGGGAACAAGTCACCCTTCTGGGGAGTATTTGGCTGGATACTTTAGCAGCCTGTTCGGGCAAAATCCCATCATTTTCCCCAGCTGAAACATTTCTACATTCCCCTGGGAAGTACACGTCATATGCCCAGTTGAGAGATAAGCCAAACAAAATGGAACTCAATCAACAATTGTCTACAGATTCATGTCAGCTGCCTAACCTGCTGCATTCAGATGTTGCCGACCAATCCTACGTGTTGCTTTTTTTGATCCAACATTCTCCTTGTCACTGTAATTTTCATGAACCTCACTTTTCTTTCTCTTCATCGATCGGCTAGATTTCNAATCGGCTAGATTTCTTGCTCTGCTGCAAAAAGAAGTTTAAAAACTCAGTATTTCCATTTATTTTTACTTCAGAAATCACATGGCATTTATCAAATCTTTGACAACAGCAGACTTGAAAAATTCAGTCCCTATAGAAGCACCAAATGAATTAAATCAACATCTACTTCTTGTAATGTCAATCATTCAGGAAAAGCAAAGTCAACAATAAGCAGTGTGTTTTCAGTCAAGCAAGTTCCACCAGCAGCAAGTCTAGCGATGATTCCTCTCATCTGATTTTCAAAGACAAACAACCCAGTGAAAATCCCACAAGTGAGGTGGGGAGGGTAGGATGTACGCAGCCTTACCCCTACCCTGGGAGCAAAACGTAAACAACAATAAAAAAATAAGAACATATATAATGGATGGTAAATACTTCTTTATTGGCCTTGTGCCCCAAACCTGCAAATGAAGCATATAGTCCTACCATTATTTATCTCACCTTTCCAAGTTCTCATAATCCAATACTTTCTCCGCTAAAATGCTACTA